GCAGGTACCGGGGGACAGGCGGTTGTTCACAGGTACCGGTTGCGGGGACGGGCGGCTGCAGGCAGCCCCGGCGGGTGAGCGGGAGCCCAGGCGGCCCCGTGCTGTCCCGGGCGGCTGTGCCGGCCGCACCCGGCTGACTCATGCGGGCAGYGCTCCCGTCCATCCCGCTCGCTGCCGGGAATGGGCTGCCCTCCGCCCATCCCTGCTCCCTCAGCGGGGCCAGCGGAGGGGACCCTTCCCGGGGCAGCGGGTGCAGGGCCGGGGCACGCGCTGCTCCGCGCTGCTCTGCGCCCAGGAGCCGCTCCCGGGATGGATCCAGGTCTGGGCACGGCTGGCACTGCGGGCCCAGCCCCAGCACCGCGGCAGCAGAGYCCCGGGCGGCGGGAGCCGCTGTGCCCACGGAGGCTCCGCAGCGGCTGCCCTTGGGAATGTCCCTGAGCTAAGGGAGCCCAGGGCAAACGAGGGCAGCGCCAGGAAGCTCCGGGCAGGACGGGCTCGCAGGGAGCCCGTGGCCGCCCGCTCTCCGGATCCCTGCCGCCCGCAGGGACTCATCCAGGCAGCTCTGTGGCTCCCRTGGGGCTCAGCCCGAGCCGCTGGGGCAGAGCTGCTCCAGCGGCGGTGGCCGCTCCAGCCCGCCCGGCTCCATCCCCATCCTGCAGGAATTTTGGCCCCAGCTCGGGGTGTGGGGCCGGGGGTGAGCGCAGGTCGCCGGGATTTTTCCGGGGTCAGGTGCCATAATTAGGAGCCTAAGTTTGGAGCCCTATTTTTGGCGCGGGCCGGGAGAGCCAAGGGCTGCGGACGGGGCGCGAGGGGCTCGGCCGGCGGGGCATGGCGGCCGCCCCGGTGGCCCGCGCGGTGGCCGTGGCCGTGACGGGCACCCGCGCTCCCTGCTCGCTGCCGGTGGCCGCTGCCCGGGTGCTTTTCCCTGTGCTACACGGGATGCAGCGCCCACCGGCAGGGCCCCCCGGGCGTCGCTGCAGGTACCGCGGGACCGGCCACGACCGCCTGGCCGGGCTCTGCGGCGGCGCCATGCGGCGGGGCGACGCCTTAGAGCACCCCCCGCTAAGGGCTGCGGCCCCTTTAAGAGCGCCGCGGCCCCTTTAAGACGCTGCCACTCGCGCCTGGCGTGCGCGGCTCCTGCGCTGCCGCCTGATTGGCCGGGCGAGCGCGTGGCGGGGGCCGCAGCACCGCCTCCCTGCGCAGCGTGCGCGTCCGCTGGAAAAAGGCGTCCCGGCGCCCCGCCCCTC